AATAAATATAATTTTGTTTATATAATTTTTTATTTATAATGTAATACGTTAACGTATTCATATAATTATTATAAATAAAAATTATATTATAAATATATTTATAATATAATTTTTATTAATGTATTTTTTATTAAATATAATTTTTATTTAACGCATTAATAATAATTTTATAAATATGAATTAATAAAAATATTATAAATACAATAATTTTATATAATTTTATTATAATTAATTTATAATGTATTTTTATTAATGAATATATAATTTTATTTATAATAATAAAAAGGTGCTTGCGTACATTTGGGCAGACACCGTAAACGACTGAAAAGCTGCAAGTATATTATGTAAATCGCCTTTTTTCATTTAGAGCCCATTAACACTTGGAACCCAGTCTCGCCCCATGTTTCCCAATGAGTACCATTCATATCTGTGCAACTTCAAGTCGCAGTGACTTGAAAGTAGTTCCTACACTACTTTTTGGTCTGACTTTCATGCGCTTTGAAGGCCATAAACGTCAATGTAAACCCTCCAAAGTCGCATGAAAGTCACACTTGAATGATATACACGCAACTTTGTAGAGCACAAACATCCTTGGTCAAAGCCAAAGTCACACTCCTCGTCCAAAATACTAACATTTGATGGCTGCACATCCAGTAAAACCTTTATTTCTTCTTCTAGCATATTCCACAAATATGTCACGGATACAGGACTCCAGATAACGCATTTGAGCTATGACCAAGTTCTAGTGGAGCGTGAAATGCGTTAGCTGGAGTCCTGTATCCCTGACATATTTGTGGAATATGCTAGAAGAAGAAATAAAGGTGATTTTACTGGATGTGCGACCATCGGATGTTTGTATATTGGAGTCTGCTGTGCACAGAGCCAGCTCTTGGGATGTAGTGTGTATGGTAGTGGAAGAGGGAACCGACATGGAGCCGTGTAGGTTTTTTTTTTTTTTTCTCACTCTTCCAAAGTTGCATAAAGTCACACTGTAAATGGCGTGATTTTGAAGTCGCACAAGTGTGAATGGAGCCTTCTGCACTTATCCTATGAAAACAAAACCATGCATTTGGCTTATTTCCTGAAATCTATGCTGGCAGCTGAAGTCTGAAATCTTGTGGTGGCAATTTCCGCTGAACCCACTCTTCGGGTTTTCTGACAGCTGTGGGTATTGGCTGTCAGAAGACAATAGCTGGCAGGGGAGATGACACCATCCACACTGTTTAGGATGAATGGAGAAATCTATTAGATTTCTCTTTTTTTTTTTTTTTTTTTTTTTTTTTTTTTTTTTTAAGCCGTAATAAACCCAAAACATTCCTATATTGCACTAGTTTTAGATGTGATGCCTACATTAATTTTCTTTAGGTTCACATTCTTTTATTTTCACCTGGTGATCCTGCCAGTAAGTTTGTTCTTTTTTTCAGTAGAGCTAGCTGTTCAGCAGATGTAGCAGATAGAGGGTTAAGACATACCATTTTATCAATGACGGGTGCTTGCAATAATCAACTTTTCATTTATGTAAACCCCTTTACCCCAAAAGGGGGGGCAGTTTGATGCAACTGCTTGTATAGTATAAGCTGTAGTTTGGCTTCGATTTTTGATTTGGTGTATCTGAATCTCCTCCCCTCCAGACTGACAAAGCTGTGTCCCCTGTGCGAAGACAAGAGGTGTGTTACTGGCCATATCGCAGTCAAAAACAGAGGGAAAAAAAAAAAAACGAATGCACCTACCCCATCCTATGATGGCAAAGCTGTAATATTTTAATTTTTTTATTTTTATTTTGGGTTTAATACCACTTTAAGCCCACAGGCTGAAAGCGAGAAATCTATACGTGTATGGCTAGCCTTTCTGGAGGAAAGGGTGGGTGTCATCAATGATGTTAGTAGTCCAAATACAGGGGGCTGGGAAGAGGCAGAACAGCTGGCGGTCTGAATATGAGCAGAAATTGCCCAAAACACTTCAGAATTCATCCTGCTGCTTTTGTCAGCAGTCACATCATCAATAAATACAAGAGAACCAGTTCCATTTGCAGCCATACATGCCCACGCCATGACACTACCACCACCATGCTTCACTGATGAGGTGGTATGCTTAGGATCATGAGCAGTTCCTTTCCTTCTCCATACTCTTCTCTTCCCATCACTCTGGTACAAGTTGATCTTGGTCTCATCTGTCCATAGGATGTTGTTCCAGAACTGTGAAGGTTTTTTTAGATGTCGTTTGGCAAACTCTAATCTGGCCTTCCTGTTTTTTGAGGCTCACCAATGGTTTACATCTTGTGGTGAACCCTCTGTATTCACTCTGGTGAAGTCTTCTCTTGATTGTTGACTTTGACACACATACACCTACCTCCTGGAGAGTGTTCTTGATCTGGCCAACTGTTGTGAAGGGTGTTTTCTTCACCAGGGAAATAATTCTTCGGTCATCCACCACAGTTGTTTTCCGTGGTCTTCCGGGTTTTTTGGTGTTGCTGAGCTCACCAGTGCGTTACTTCTTTTTAAGAATGTTCCAAACAGTTGTTTTGGCCACGCCTAATGTTTTTACTATCTCTCTGATGGGTTTGTTTTTTCAGCCTAATGATGGCTTGCTTCACTGATAGTGACAGCTCTTTGGATCTCACCTTGAGAGTTGACAGCAACAGATTCCAAATGCAAATAGCAAATCTGCTCATTGTAATTGGGATAATGAGGGAATAACACACACCTGGCCATGGAACAGCTGAGAAGCCAATTGTCCCATTATTTTTGGTTCCTTAACAAGTGGGAGGCACATATGCAAACTGTTGTAATCCCTACACCATTCACCTGATTTGGATGTAAATACCCTCAAATTTAAAGCTGACAGTCTGCAGTTAAAGCACATCTTGTTTGTTTCATTTCAAATCCATTGTGGTGGTGTATAGAGCCAAAAATGTTAGAATTGTGTTGATGTCCCAATATTTATGGACCTGACTGTGTGTGGATATAGATAGATAGATATATATATACATACATACATACATACATTTTCTTTTTATCTATGCACAAAATGTTGTTTCATTTCTATTCTGAACCAAATGGGTTGTTTTACAAAGTGACGGTTTATAATAACTTTAATTGGCTGCAAGCTCTTGAACCTACCCATTGGCCATTATAAGTAGCTTGCAACTCCATGGCTGGTTTTTAGATATGATCAGTTTTTTTTTTTTTTTTTTGTTTTCTTAGATCAAGCTGGCGCTAGACAAGTCTACACAGTGCTTCAGCATATGTTCTCAGGCTATGTGAGTGAGCAGTTCTGCACAGCATTAAAAAAAAAAAAAAAATGTTGACTGTCATTCCTAATGCACGGTCTAACTGGCGTTTTAGAATCTGTGACCACCCCATTGCCGGATCAGGTTCCGGTTACGCTGACAAAGCTGAATGACCCAGAGGTTCAGCAGTGCAGCCAAATGACTGGACCCGTTCAGCTGTAATTGAAGCAACAATACTGCGGCTACATATACTGTAGCGGACCTACATTTTTTAAATCTTTATGGATTGCCCTGCCGTCATATAGTTTTATTAGAAGGAAGTGTCCATTAAACTTGTTACCTGAGATGACTGTATATACCTTTTTTTTTTTTTTTTTTTTTGCCTGGCAGAGATTTTTGTCATTTTTGTGCTGCCTAGCCTTGAGATCCACAAAGCCCATCCAAGTGTCTTGGCAGGACTTCCACTTGGGCAGCTGCACAGCTTGAGCGAAAACACCCTCCTCCCAGTTTACTGATAGGACAGTGAAATAAAAGCGGTACATTGATGAGATCATACTGCTGCTCTTTCTTCCGATCTGCATGCTCTCTGATAGGGTTGGTTCACATATGTGCCATGCATTGTGGTTTAGTTGCTTTTTACATGCATTTTATAGGTGCTTTATCATTGAACGCTAAAGAATGTGTGTTTTTGATGAAAGCACATCAAAGATGCAGCCCTGCACCTAAAATGAAGAGGTCCTTTTTTAAAGCCTAACTCCGGGCCAAAAAAAAAAAAATTATCCCTGGCTGTGCCCGTACTGCAAGTGTCAATTGCTCATTTCTGTCTGGGGGAGCGCAAAAAAAAAAAAAAACCTAATCCTCTGCTCCTCCCCATAGCTAAACTGGTGTGCAGCATTTGCTCCCTTGCACTTTAGCGTTCTGGGGTGTTGATGTGATCAAGCCCAGAGCAGGGTCAAAAGCCTTGCTCTTGATGTGGGGGTACCCAGGGACAGCCCACGGTTAGATCATGGGGAAGCGCCTTCTGCTGGAGGAGCGGAGGATCAGTCCCCTTTCACACGCTTTGGATCTGGTTTTGCTGCGCAGAGGCTCTGTCATCTGATCCCCTGCTGAGCCGAGTGTATGACAGGTCCATGTCTACTCCAATTATGCAGTGCCGTATGGACACAGCCCTCTCTACTCTATGGGCAGTCGGGATGTAAGTGGACTTGTCCTTTTTACACCCAACTGCCCTCCGATCCAGTCCCGCCAGATAGAGAGGGTCAGATGCACTTTCATTTGTTTCTCTCAGATCAGAGGTAGCTGGGTATAAAAATCCGTTTACATCCAACTGCCCATAGGGGGTCCGCCTGAAAAATCAATAGGTGGACTCGATCGGACCATTCGTGTGAAAGGGGCCTTGATGAAAACTATAGATAGAGATGTGTAGAAGTGTGTGCGTGTGTTTGTTATATATTTTGGTGTTTTGTTTTGTTTTTTTTTCCTTGGAGTAGGACTTTTAAAATATGTTCTGTAGCAAGAACCTTGTGGTTCTGGCCCTCAGTAGCAGATTTGCTTTATTTAAAAAATACATAAATGTCCTTAATAAAAAAAAAAAATAAATATATATATAAAAAAAAAAAAAATATTTTTTTTCTTTTTTTTTAAATCCTTCCTTTGAGAACTATTGTGTTTTTTATAAAGTGGTCACATTTCATTGGAAATTATTTATTATTGTTATTGTTCTCCTGTCTTTCCCTGCAGACTCCCACACTTAGGAGGACCAGACGAGGTGATGATTCCACGGTGGTTATGCTTTGTGGCCCTGTTGCTGAGAATAGAAGTCAGAGGGTGGAATCAGCTGCCACGGAAAACTGTGCGCTTCTCAGGTGAGGTGTCGCCCTATCTCGTCTCGTACCTGTCCTTGGCTCTTGTGCCAAATTTCCTGAAGAGTGGAGGCAGACAGTACCGCTGCAAACGGTGAAAGATTAAAGCACAGCCTTTGCTCTGTGGTCCTGCTGGGCCTGGATTATGTCACCTGTTTGTGTGCACTTCAGGTTCCCCATGGAGGTGATGTCATGTTGTAATTATACCTCCTATTTTCCCCTGTGACTTCTAAGGCAGTGACGAATCACATGACCCATGGAAAGATGGCCAAGTTTATTCTGTAGGGAGGATACTGTTCATTTATGTTTTATTTATGTTTTTAGTTGAAGTTACTATCTGCAATGCAGTTTCTTGTCTCTAAGTAATACTTTTTTTTTTTTTTTTTTTTTATATATTTTAGGGGTCAACGAGCTTCACCAGGCCTGGCCTAGTGGTATCTCCCATTACCTGACATTCACAGTGGATGAGAACCGAGGGGCGCTGTATGTTGGTGCACGGGAGGTCATATTCATGTTGGACCTTAATAATGTTGGAAAGCATTTGCTACCTCCGGTAAGCTTTTTGTAGTTTCCAGCCTTCATATTTATGGCTTTCAATTGATATACAGAACTGCTTCCGCTAACAATGCCTTTCTCTCTTTCCTGTTCAGATTGTATGGGAAGCGCCAACTGAAAGGAAGATGGAATGTGTCAATAAAGGAAGGAGCAATCAGGTGTGTATGAGGCTGGGTTGAAATGATAGAAGATTGGTGGTACATCTTAATAAAGGATATCTGATACCCAAAAGCTGAATTTACTATTTTGTAGGTTAACCCTCTGACGCCGACGTCACACAAATATGCGGCCTCACAGAACTGGCGCCGCATATACTGGGGCCGCATATTCGTGTACCTGTCTTTGTGCTGGGAGCGCACCACACTGCGCGCTTCCAGCACAAAGACAAGGGTAGCACTGAGAGCCCTGGGTCCCGGGACCCCCGGACTCCCGATTCTGAGTCACATGATCACTGTGATAGCCTCTGATTGGCTATAACAGTGATCACTCACTGTGAAGCCCGCCCCCCCTTGTTTTTTTACTCTTGGAATGGAGGAGAGAAATGCATTGTATCTCTCTCTCCCTGTGCAGAGAGGAAAAAAAGATACTGTATTAAAAAAAAGAAAAGAGAAAATACCTAGATCAAGGTTTGAGCTAGTTCAATGCCTGGGTTAGTGTTTGGGTCAGGGTCAAAGGTCATGACTTTTTTATTATTAAATTGGTGTCTGTGTTTTTAGGTAAAAAAACAAAATGCGCACTATTGTTTCTGAGCTGTAGTACAGGTACAAACAAGAAATAACATTCACATATAGGGTCGCTGCGATTGTCAAGAGCTGGAAAATTTAATTTGAGTTGTTATTTTGGTGGTAGGTTATGGTAGTAACAAACACAGCTAAATTAAAAAAAAAAATTATTTATTCTTTTTTTTTTAGACTATTTTGGGCCAGTTTTCCTTTTGAGAATTAAAAAAAAATCAGGAGATATCCATTACCATTTTACCACCAAATGAAAGCTCAATTAGTCCTGAAAAAACACAAGGTGTAATTCACCTGGATGTACAAAAATATTTGGGATGATATGCACGGTTTTACTAACCCATGTCAAAGTTGTCAAAGATTTGTAAAAGGTTAATTGACTTGGGCTTTGTGAAACATAAAACAAACTTGTTTTCAAAAAATACAAATACTCAAATATCTAGTTATTGTTGCGCTATTGATATACTTGCTTATAGTTTGGTGTTTTATGCATTTTTGACTTAATTATATTATTGGTAGGAGCGCACCTAAACAATGAAAATCTTTTAATCACTTACCCTCCTGAGGATGTACCCCCCTTTCTGACCAGGACATTTTTTGCGTTTAAGGTGCTGCGTTTAACTGACAGTTGCGCGGTCATGCGACGCTGCACCTAAATGGAATTTACATCCTTTTTTTATTTTTTTTCCCCATGAACTGAGTTTTTTCTTTCGCTGGTATTTGAGAAAAATATTTTGGACTTTTTGCTTTTAAATATGTCCAGTAAATAAAATGTAAAAAATCTAATTTTCGTCAAATTTATGCCAAAATGTATTCTGCGATATGTCTTTGCTACTGGAAGGAACTGACTTAGTGTCACTGACATCCCCAGTGACACCAATACAGTGATCAGTGTTAAAAGAAAAAAAAAAAAAAGCACTGACACTGTACTAATGGCACTGGGCAGGAAGCGGTTAATATCAAAGTGATCAAAGGGTTTACTATGTGTAGGGAGTGTTTTACAAGGGGGCTGCTTCACTTTAAGCACACTGCTCTGGATGGCTGAGCAGTGTGCCCGAGCTGACAAGGAGGGGGATTGTTAGTAAACAAAACCGTATTCCTCCCCGTCGGAGATGCTCAGTAATTGCTAGGCGCCGTTGGGTAATTACCGGCCGGGATCTGGTGATTGACAGCTGCGACCGTGAATGGCGGCGCAGGTAGGGAGCATGCAGCTTGTGCATGCCCCCTACCCGGAAATGCAAAATCGTGTGTGTGTGTGTGTGTGTGTGTGTGTATATATATATATATTATATATATATATATATATATATTTGTGTGTATGTGATTTTGCGCAGCCCTGTAGCAGTATATCTGCTATAGGGCGGCGGGGCAACAGTTAGTTAATCCCGATTATGATAAACAGCCGTGTCCACAATAATCCTCCATGTGTAGTGAAAGACTCTCGTGCCCACCGCCACAAAAAAACACACTGCTCCTTACCAAATAGACCGCAGATTATAGGTGGTTTAACAGAGCGTGATGCTGAACATATCTTGCTTGTAACATCCCAGATGGAAAAAGAGGTGTCAGACTTCTGTATCTCTCCTCCTCTTTCCCTTCCTTATGTCAAAAAGAACAATACTTCAGATAATGTGATAACCTACAAATGATTTATTAAAATAATTAATATTCAAATAAATATTAAAATAAAACATTCAAAGAGATGACCATAAAGGTGGCTAGTGCTGGCTCCAGATAGGCATGGGTGACGTCAGTACACCCAGCCCCGATATACGTTTTATCTCAATAGACATTGTCAAGGGGATCATCACCTATTTTGTAGGTTAATTTGATCATGTGTGACACCACTGAACGGCTGTGTACCCTTCTTCCATTGTAGCCCCAATTATAAACATAGAATATATCTGTGTTCTTACTTCATTTCCTTCTTCTTAATTCCAGACGGAGTGTTTTTAATTACATTCGCATCCTGCAAGTTTTTAATGACACCCACCTCCTCGCCTGTGGGACGTACGCCTTCCAGCCCAAGTGTGCTTATATTGTGAGTACTCGGTTTCATCTAAAAAATTTGATAGAGCAAAGCGAGATTCCTCTTCGGTGCAGTCGGTGGTGCAGACGAACGCTGGTTTACTGTTTACCCAACTGGCATACTCTGCCAACAGCAGAACTGCCAAAGTGGGAAGAGGTCATTGTTAGACCTGGTTGTGTCATTTGTCTGCCTCTTGCTCTCATGCAGGCACTAATTGCATTGACTGACAAGTCGCCAATTCACCCTGGTGACCCCTCTGAGCTTGATTCTATATCTGCGACGAGCCATTACCGCTCTCTGGGCATCCACTTAAAGTGCTACAAACTACTTTTTCATTGCTAGTGTGATAGCATAATGTTTCTGGAAAAACCCTTTGTTAGAGATACAATTGTTAACCTCAGCTCACAGGGCTTTCTGCCAATTTGCCTGCAGCAGTCTGTTCCAATTTTGTAATTAATTTGGCTATTTTACATCACTAAAGAACCCGGCAGCCTTACATCTTGCACATTATAAAAGACCTTTTTGCCTTCTTTCTCCCCAGGAGCGGTTAACATTCACTTTAGATGGTGTTAACTTGGAAGATGGGCGGGGAAAGTGTCCATATGATCCATCCACAGGCCATACTGGGATTGTTGTAGGTGAGTACATGTTGCCAGATATTCTTATTTGTTAGGTAAACCTATTTTTGCATTGGAACTGTACTAGGAACTTTTTTTTTTTTTTTTTTTTTTTCCCCTTTCCCCCTCCTGTCTTTTAAATGGCTTACAGGTTGTTCTGACAGGAAGTGAGGGGAAATCTCTCTAATAGAGAGAGACTTCTGTATTTCTATTTTTTTTTATTTCCTACAGGATATTGCGCCAACAATTTTAAGCAATGCTTATACACTTTATGCAGTAAATAAACATTCACATCAGTCCCTCAAGGAGCTTACAATCTAACGTCCCTAACTCACATTCATGCATACTAGAGTCAATTTAGATAGGAGCCAATTAACCTACCGCCATGTCTTTGGAGAGTGGGAAGAAGCCGGAGTACCCGAAGGAAACCCACGCCAGCACAGGGAGACCATTCAAACTCCAGGCAGGTAGTACCGTGGTTGAGATTCAAACCAACAACCCTAGTGCTGCCAGGCAAAGGTGCTAACCACTTAGCCACTGTGCTGCCCACTTCTATAAAACCCTGACAGATGCTCTAACCCTTCCCCATTCTACCAAAAAAGAAATAAGGGCTCATAAACACTATCCTTGTTGAAAAATAATTTTTATGTGCCTTGTTCACACCTACAAGCTGCATTGAGGTTGATTGCAGTGTGGTGCTGCAGTGCATATATTTAAATTAATTTTAATAAATTAAAATTTAGAAGTGAAAGTCAGGTTTAAAAAAGTCATTCTCACCTAGATGGATTCATCATTGGTACGATGCTGCATCTGTCCCCAACCACCTCTAAGACAGAGAATTGAGTGATCAAAGACCGCTGATCACTCAGCTCCCGCTCTTCAGTGAGCAGTCACTGCTTTGTGCTCTGCCCCTCCAATGCTCACTGGAGCGCCGGGCTGGGGAGTGGGAGGGGAGCTGCTGGCTCAGGCTTTCAGCAGCATGCTGAGAGGGTGAGCCAGCTGCTGACTTATGCATTTGGGTGGATCCCAACTTTAAAGTCAGGATCTCTCCCAGAGCCTGGACCGGCTTGCTGTCCGCTGAAAAAACAGGTCACAGTGCAGAACAAAGTGCATTATTGTGATCTCTAGGAGGAGGGCAAAAGAAAGCACTTTGACCCTACTTTTCATTTTTAATAACTGAAAATTAAAGTGGGGGGGGGGGAGTAAACCATGCCCTCCAAAATGCAAAGTACAGCCCCTACCTACACAGCGGACACCAGCCTGTCTTATCATGCAGGCTGATTTAAGGGACCTCCTAAAAAAAAAAAAAAAAAAAAAAAAAAAAAAAAAAAATTTTGGGTGCGGTTAATGTTTATCACTATAAAGGTGTTGCTTTTGACAGTTTGCTTTAGGCGTTGGGGTAAACAAACTATGTACATTATAGAAGACCAAAACTTAATTTGGAAAAAGTATAAAGGATTATAATGCAATCAACTAGTACAGCTAGCAGAATATGGAACTTGCTCCAGGCGTGTTTTGTAACCGATCTCTTTCCTTAAGGGGCTAAAGTATCCTTCTCAACTCGCCCTACTTATCTATGCCTCGGGGAGAAATTCTTTTCTGTACTGGGAAATATAAACTCTTGTTTATCTGCAATTTGAATAGTCTCTTCTCCTTTTTTGGATAGATTAGCCTTTTTTGTGCTCTGTGCAAGAGTATAGAATAAGCTGGACTAAATTATATGGAGGGAGGGGGGGTTCTAGTTGTAGAAGGGACACTTGTATGCATTATGCAGCCTCTGCTTTTCGTATCCACATGCAAACCTGTCATCTGGTCTTGGGATATGATTAGTGCTGGGGTCTGGTATACATGGAGAGCAATGTGAATGGTTCCCAGCACATTTGTCAAATGTGTGTATGTATATACAAGCAAAAAGATGAACATCAATATACATATACTTACTGTTTATCTTCCAAGGATTTGTGATTTAGGCCTCGTTCACATGGGCAGACTACAGCGTACACCTGTGTTAGGGCTGTGCTTACCTGCAAAGGTGTTTCATTCGTCCCCATGTAGGCGGCGTGAATTTGCCATTTGTGCAGGTACACAACCTCAAATGCATACTGTCTGCATTCGGGGCAGAGCACCCACATGGATGTCAGATTGGTCCGTGCAGCCACTGTGTCCCAATTGACCTGAATAAGACTGCCTGCACTGGAGATGTACAGAACATCCCCGTGCAAAAAAACATGGCCCTCGCACATGTGTATGCTGCAGTATATCTGTATGAAAGATGCCTTAAAAAAGTAACCTTTTTACTCAGTCTGTTCAATGGATTGTGAATTTGCATCATCATCTTTGTCCAGTGAGCAGGAAGCTGACCCAGCAAATGGTAATCATAAAGCCGGCCGTACATGGTTCCGTGTTGTTTTTTTTTTTTTTTTTTTTTCTTGAACTGGCATCCCCATCCACAAATTTGAGGTGGGTAGAGGAACCGTCTCCACTGTGTCATTGTATTCTGACAATGGGACTCCCACCATCAAAAAATGATGATCAGAGCTGCAGCTGATTGGCTGATCAAAGCAAAATTTTTCACCAAGTCAATTCATGAAAAGTTGATTGATAGATCAACTTCTCATGAACGGGAAAAGCCATACATGGATCTAAATTGAGCCAATTCCTGCTGAACTGACCAAATTTCGATTAATATATGGCCAGCTTAAAGTAGCAAATAGTAGGGTATTTTTCCTGATTTAGCAGAGACTGGATGGGCAAAATAACAAAAAGCGAATTCGTTTTTTTTTTTTCAAATTTGTTTTTTTTTTTTTTCTTTAATGTATTTCAGATGGAGTTCTATATTCTGCCACTTTGCTCAATTTCCTGGGGACAGAACCAGTGATACAGCGCAACATGGGGCAGCATAGTGTTATAAAGAGCGAATATCTTGCAACATGGCTTAATGGTGAGCATACAGGTTTTCATCTTTATCATCTATGGTCATCCTGTACACTTTGACTTCTCTGTCACCATCTTTTTCTGCTTCACGCTCCATTTTGTTTTTCTAAGTCTCCAGTTTCCACTGTACCTTACTGATAATCAGTGTCAGATTCTAATGGTCATCACTTTCTCTCTGCCAGGACCAAACTTTGTGGGCTCCTCTCACATCCTGGAGAGTGAGGGGAATGAGTTGGGAGATGATGACAAAATCTATTTCTTCTTTACTGAGCGGGCCCTAGAATACGACTGCTACAGTGAGCAGGTTGTCTCCAGGGTGGCCCGAGTTTGCAAGGTGCGTGCTATCTACAGGAGTCTAACATGCAATTATTTCTGTTTTTTGTTTCTTTTAAGTGATTTGTTAGCTTAAGTAATGATTCAGTGTGGAGCCTTTATCTTACCTTGTTCCTGCAATCTGTACAAAAAAGCCACTTTAAATGTAATTTCTGTAACGTTGAAATTTGTGCCTGGCTTTCTCTGGGTGGAGATTTGGAAAGCGTGATGTCGGAACGCCTAATCTGCATAATTATTTCAGGTCAATGACTAAGAAATTCAAGCCAGGTGATCAGCATAATAGTTGGGCAGTCAACTGGCATTTTCAGAAGCAGACATGAACAGTCACAACTTCCTCTTGCAATACAGGAGGGGAGATTTACTAAAACTGGAGCACTCAGAAGCTGGTGCAGCTGTGCATGGTAGCCAATCAGTTTCCGAATTCAGCTTGTTCAATTAGGCTTAAGGCTAGGTTCACATCTGTGCGGGTGGTGCCTCTGTGGAGCCACACGAAAATCCGTGTAGCCGCAGCACTGGCACAGAGGAATGCAGACCCGCGGGAGGGTGCCATTAGTTCTAATGGCACTCCGCCCGCAATGGAAAATGCAACAGCACTGGGAACCGAGGTTCCTGCGCAGCTGCGTTTTCAGAAGAAGTGCAGGGACTTCTTCCCTGTGTGTCACGGGGCACAGGAGTCCATTCAAATGAATGGGCTCTTGTGCCCATGCAAAACGTGGCCCGCATAGATGTGAACCAGGGCTTAACAATGAAACCTTAATGCTGATTGGTTTCTCTGCACAGCTGCACCAGATTTTGCACTCTCCAGTTTTACTAAATCTTCCCCAGTATGTACTTCATTCACCAGGGACCACCAATTGGTTGTATTTTCTAGGAGCATTTTAAAAGAACTGCACTGGTACATGCTGGTTTAGGAAAGCTGCGACAAAGGGGAAAAAAAAAATCCCAACAGAACTGTTACCCACAGCAATCAATCAGGTTTCACTGCTAGGAAAATTATGGTTAGTAGGTAACGGTTGCAAACCTTACCCTAGTTTTATAAAACCAGTCATTGGAAGGATATGATTGTGAACACACATTTTGGACTATCATTGCAGTGTTTTTTACCTGGAGCGACACCTGGCTCAGCCTCTCGGCAAGCCACTGAGAACCTGGGCCAGCTGCTCCTTCCCCCTCCACAGCCCTGCACTCCAGTGGGCGCTGCGGGGCAGAGTAGACAGCGGTGACTGAACGTCACCATTCTACTCGCAGAGCAGCTGGGAGAACGCGGCGATCAGTGGTCATGTGATCGCTGACTTCTGACCCTTAGAGCTGGCGGGGGACAAAATGCAGCATCGGATTGATGCTGCATTTTGTTTGTTTGGATGAGCAGTGCTCATTAGTTGCAGTCATGTGCACTGCCTTATGTACACTACATGTTCCATAGGCTAGTCCAGGAGTCTCCAAACTTTCTAAACAATTGGCCTGTTTACTGTCCTTCAGGCTGTAAGAGGACTGAATTGTACTCCAGTGGGAGTAGATAATGCATGCGTACCCCATCATTGGTTTTAATGGGAGGAATAATGCCCCATTTGCTATAAATGAGAAAAGAAGTGCCTCAATGATTGTGTCAGTACGGGGAATGGCGATCCATCACTGGTGTCATTTGATGGAATAGTACCCCAAGGGCCAGATAAAGGCAAGCAAAGGGTCACATCTGGCCCTGGGTTTGGAGACCAATGGTCTTGTCCAACTTAGGAGTGTGCAATAGAGGGTGGTTCTACTAGACTTCCATAGTCCCACTGTATGTAGGAGCATAAAGTCAGATCACAGCAGCAAAAATAGGAATGTGGAGAAGGCTGAGAGCAATAGAAGATGCAAACTACCTTTTTTGAGTTACAAATACATACTTGAATAGAATCCTTCTTCTTCTTTTTTTTTTTTTTTTGTGTGTCACTGTTAAAACTATATAGACAGAGGAACACTTCAACTATTCAATAAGTTGTTACTGATAGTAACCAGTCTGATTGAATGTTGTTTTCCCAGTACAGCTTTGAGAATGACACTAAATGCTGCTTGATTGCTTTAGGAAATGACCCTTTTCTATTCTTTTCATCGGTGCTCTTCAAGCTAATGCATACTGCACAATTTAAAACAACATTGTGTTCTCACAGTTCATCCGAGCAGAGTTTCCTATACATACATACACAGTGATTTATACGCTAACAAACCCTTCCTGCCTTTTGTATATTCCCCTTTCCTTCATTTTTGGCTCTTGTATGACAGTGTGATTGTATTACAGGGGGATTTAGGAGGGGCTCGCACTCTGCAGAGGAAGTGGACAAGTTTCCTGAAGGCCCGGCTAGTGTGCTCTATTCCGGAGTTACAACTTCATTTTAACCTGCTACAAGCTGTGTACACATTGCGCACTGATCACTGGAGGTCCACACAGTTCTATGCTGTCTTCCAAGCGCTCTGGTGAGATATTACTGTTCTCTGGTGTTTATAAAGGCCCCTGATACAGCTTAAATCTAGAAAATCTGATTTTTTATTTATTTATTTTTTTTACTTCTAATTTTTATTTTTGTCATGGGGTCTATTTTATTTATTTTTTGCCATATAATTTTTGATCCTTTGACCCTGTGTCTGACACTTCAGCAGACATTACCCCTAATTAAGTAGCGTTCTGCCACATTAAAATGGACAACAAAGCAGCCATACAATGTTTCCCTTATGGACGTTTATGTACTCCTATCTTTTTTCAAAAATTAAAAATAGAAGCATTATGTCAAAGAACAATTCCATGATCCTGTGGCTTTGGGGGACAGTGGTTCTCATACAGTTCACTACGCTGTGGCCTCTAATGTCCTACTTTTTATTTTAGATTCAGCTAGTGTTCATCATTTGTTTACATGGAAAAAATCAATTAGAAAAAACACAACTCTCGGCGATTGTAAACTTTTTGTGTTTCTTGTGTTTTCTGATATTTATACAGAGGCGCCTAGTGTATAGCTACCCTCCTCCTTAGCAAACCCATGCATGGCATAGGACCTTCAGAAAACTTTAGTTTTAGAGAGAGAATGGGCTAAAGCTGGCCTTCAGGAAGCTTTAAAGAAAAGCTGGCCCTTTTTTTTTTTTTTTTTTTTTTTTTTTTTTTTTTGGTTCTCTATATTCTGCTTAAAACTGACATATATATATATATATATATATATATATATATATATATATATATATATATATATATATATATATTTATATATATTTTTTTTTTATATTTTTTTTGTCATCCTTTGTACTGGTGCATCAACTAGCTCTTTTTAATACCTATAAAATTGGTTTGGTCATAAGTTATTTCTGGCTAACAGTCTTTCTCATTTTAGGGGTGATGTCTCTGTCTCAGCCATCTGCCAGTACTCCATACAAGATGTCCAGAAGGTGTTTGATGGGTCATACAAGGAATACCATGAGCAGGCCAAGAAGTGGGGCCCTTATTCTGACTCTGTGCCCAGTCCCCGTCCTGGATCTGTAAGTTTAGTCTAATTACTGCTTAATAAAGTCAATCTAAGGCTCATAAGCTGCATTCATTGACCTCACATGAACTGCATGGAGAGAGAGGCGGCACAAGCTGCTCATCCCTTGAGAAGCAGCCAGGAAAACTTTTGCAGCGACACAATGAACTATTTGTGGGGACTTAACAGTTCAGCTTTCTATAAGAAACATCTGAAAAGCCTATTCTTTTCGACTAGTGTTTTTATTCCATTTTCCTTCTAATGATGCTTTTCTTGGTATAAAATATTTAGAGCAGAGGTCTTCAACCTTGTCTTCTGAGCCCTGCACAGATATAAAGGAAGAGGTGTTGGATAATCTCACTGATTATAAATATAGTACTAAAAAATGGTAAATACTATAGTAGTATAATTAGATGCTGCTTGGCTTTGTGTCCAGAAGTGTGCTGTGCATGTTCACAAGAGCAAAAGGATCTTGAATACAACTTTAGCCAAGAAGCACATGAAAGTTTTTAAGTCATTCATTGCGGATGTCAGATGTGGGTTAACAATCACTTGAAGTGGTTTTAAAGACTCAAGGTTTTTTCACCTTCATACATTCTATGCATGAAGGTAAAAAAAAAGCTTCTGTGTGTAGCAACCCCCTCCCACCCTCCCCTAATACTTACCTGAGTCCCATCACAATCCAGTGATGTACACAAGAGCCTTGGCTGTCTGGGAACTCTCCCTACTCATTGGCTGAGACAGCAGTGGGAGCCATTGGCTCACAGCTAGTGAACCAATGAGAGGAGAGATGGGCAGGGCCAAGGCGCTGCTCTTTGTGTGAATGGACATTCAGAGCAGCGGCTCGGGAGTGAGTTTTACACTGTATTATGCTGATCTGGGGGAAATACACAAAGCACAGGATTTACATATTGAAACATGACTTTAATATCCCAGCAATATGGTTGTAAACCATAGCATCACCTCTCTTTAGTCCTAAATGACTAGCAGGCGTTGCTTTCCCTCCACATTGTACAGTCAATTAAATATTAGACATTTTTGCTGTGCTCCATCAGCTTCAGCCTTGAATTTGAATTGTCACGTACCGTCAGCCCTGTATGCACTATGCTAGAGATTTCGTACTGAAAACTGTATAGAATTGCACTATAAGCCAAACAACATCCCAAGGCTTGGCGAAAAAAAGACCAATTTAGTACATCCAACCATTTTTGCCATTTTGTTTTTCTCTTACGGCTTTCAGCTTACTCCAGTTGTGATAAATTCTGAATACAGTTCTTTCTCTTTCTAGTGTATCACAGACTTCCACAGGCGTCACGGAATGAGCAGCTCGCTTGAGCTTCCAGATAACACTCTCAACTTTGCCAAGACGCACCCCCTGATGGATGATGCCGTCCAGCCTGTTCATGGACGCCCCCTGCTGGTCAGGAAAGGAGTCAATTTTACAACAATTGCAGTACAAAGGACTGAAGGGCTGCGTGGGGAGCCATATGATGCCATATTCATTGGAACAGGTGAGGAGCTGCCAGGATGCTTTATTCTACAAGTTTTTTATATTAATTTAAAAAATATATATAAATCTTTGTAAAAATAATGCTGGAATGTCATTTTTGTTGATGGTTTTTATAAACTTTTTTTTATTTTCATCTTAAACAGGAAATGGCTGGCTGAATAAAGCTGTAAGAATGGGTTCCTTCGTACATTTGATTGAAGAAGTTCAGATGTTTGATAAACCCTACCCTGTGCACAGCCTAGTTATCTCAAGCCGATCGGTAAGAAATCTTTTTACCACCAGACCCTGTCACATGTAATTACCTTCACATTCTCTGCCATGTCCAATCAGTATTTCCTTGCAGCCCGCAACAGTGGATCAGTCTGTCAGATGCTAACATCAAGAGTTGAGGATGATATTACTATATCCGTTGCATGCCATGAAAATGACTAGAAAAAAGTATTGAACTAATAAGCGCTATCTTTATTTTGAATAGAGCAAAACATTGTCCCAAAAATATTTTCAGGATAAAATAATCAGTGAAATTGTTAGCTAGATCTATAACGCAAAGGGATGGGTAGCTATTGATCTGTGAACATTCAAAGACCTGCTGTTGTGTAAATTAACTTTCAGGCAGACATCCTAAAAATAATTTAGTTGTGTTTTTACAAATTTATTTAGTATCTGAATGTGTCTTAATATCTGCATCCTGTAAATGCCTGCACAGCAGTACTTAGACTGGGGGGTAAAGGGATGATCTCCTTGGTGTGTTTTTTACCCCTTCATTGTTCATACAGGCTGGTGACAAATCTGTTCTTAAAGTGAACCTAAGCTCACCTTCACTCCAGCGCTGTGGTGTCCCCGAGCAACCAACGGCTGCTGATATCTTCAGCTGGTCTGCTTCTGGGGATTGATCTTTGTCTTTTTTTTTTTTTTTTTTTTTTTTTTTTTCACTGGCCATGCTGTGATTGACTCACTACCGTGCTTCATCTCGGCATTGCTTGGTGCACAGGCAGGAAAGTAACTTTTTCATGCAGAAGACCCATGGTATGTCTCTTCTGTATAGAAAAAAAAGATCCTGTTTGCCTTCTTTTTCCAAAGCTCCACTTTAAGTGCAGTGGAAAACCGTAAGGTCACAATCCTGATTTTTCTGTCTGGCAGCAGTGACTAGACCCCAAGAGGGTTAAAGTATAACTTAAAGTGGAGTTCCACTCACCTGTCAAAAAATAAGTCAGCAGCTACAAAAACTGTAGCTGATGACTTATAAAAAAACAAAAAACAAAAAAAAAGTCACTTACCTGTCCCTCGGTCCCGTGGTGTGTCCCCTGCAGCCCGTTTCACCGGCCATCCTGGATTCCAGGAGGCCAGCATCTTCGGTGTGGGCACCCGGTTGTGATAGCTTGCGGCTTCACAGTTGAGTACCCACTGTGCATGCGTGAGTAACGCTGTGCTTCATGAATGGTCCTGTAGTCTTCTGGGACCTGTCATGTGTCCCAAAAGACTTAAGGTGCCAATCCTTAATGGGGAGTGGGTGAGCAGTCCTTAAAGCGGAATTTCCCTTTTGGGTGGAACTCCACTTTAGCCCAAGAATTAAACTTTTACATACTGCAGCTTGTCTATCTTTAGAGGGGCTAGTGTTTTTTCAGACTAACCACATTTTCAGCATGTACACAAAATGTTTACACACATCCACCACCTTCTGCGCTCAGGGACTCAGATCAGAAGAAGGCCAATCGAATAAAATGATAAATGTTCATCCAACACTGATCAAATGTTGTGCGGCTCTAACACGAAGCTGGGGAAGCTCGATATAGACTATAGTAGAAAACAAAAAACAAAGCGCACCAACCTTGTGCATTACTTCAGTAAGCAATTCATAAATTTATTGATAAATTATATTCGCAAAAGTAGCAGTAAAATGGCATATAACATCCAAAACCAAACACAGGGCTAGGAGACACGTGCAAGTTCCATCCGGAAGGGAGATAAACTATTGGTCAAGCTGACGCATTTCGAAGGGGGGGGTCCCTTCTTCCTCAGAGCTCTGCTCGCATCAGCTTGACCAAGAGTTTATCTCTCTTCCAGATGGAACTGTCACAAGTTAGCCTGCAGTTTCTTGTTTGTGTATTCTTACCTCCTTGCTACAGTGCTGTTCCCGATCCCTTTCACATGTGTGTTTGTGCTCATCTATGGGCGTCGTTTGCTGTTCTCTGGGTTTTATTTCCTTCCCTTCCATCACTTCCTGGCCCGCCTCCTTGTTTGCCTGCCTATATAAGACATGCTCAGTCCAGACCACTTTGCCTGAGCAACTTCCTAGTTGTCGGAGCTCCTGTGTGTTTCTATCGCCTATATCCTGCATTGACTACTCCTGTACTGACCCCGGCTTCGTTCCCTGACTCTGTTTTCCGCCCGTCCTGACCTCGGCTAGGCTATCGGATTTCCGTTTTTGTCTCCTCCCATTGTACTCTGCTCTTGCGAGCGGTCTCCACATCCTCAGTTGGGTATACCCAGGGGCCGCTACCTGGTCCCTGCTTGCTGCAAGTCCATCCCCACCATCAGGGGCTCTGGTGAAGAAGCAGGCTGGGGCTTAGACTCCTCGCCCTGGGGAACTCCCAAGTTGACTACAAGGGCTCACTACCACAGGTGCTGGCAGTAACTTGCACGTGTCTCCTAACCCTGTGTTTGGTTTTGGATGTTATATGCCTTTTTACTCCTACTCTTGTGAGTATAATTTATCAATAAATTTATGAATTGCTTACTGAGGTAATGCGCAAGGTTGGTGCGCTTTGTTTTTTGTTCTGTACTACAAAATGTTTATCCTGCCAGAAATGTAGTATCCTTGTCTGAGATTAACTGGAAGCACAAACTATATAATATCTTCCTTCTGTAAACTACACCTCCATGTAATAGAGACAAAGAGTGGAAGACGTACAATACATTTTTATTTTTGGGTTTTAAAGCACTTTAATGAAAATGACAAATCTTTTGGTAGCTAAGACAGTTCACATTTATATTTCAGCTGTGTTTTAGGTGGCTTGCCTGGGGTTCAGCAGTAAAGCAGAACTCTAAGTGAGCAGTATTTAGCTGTTTGCCTGAACACAAGTAAAACTGCTAAATACACAAATGTAGGGTTGCTGTTTTTACTTCCCAAATAATTTATTTTTATCCATGAGATCTGCACAGCTCTGCCCTGGCTGCAAATGAAGACCTAATTTTCCTCTGCTTCAGTTTAGATTCTTGCTACATGTACAGATTCCCCTCCTCACCCCCAGCCTGTGAATGGACAGTGGAAAGAGAAGCGGCAGACTCAACTATGTCAAACGGATCTATTATCCTATCAGTTGCTTGTATATTAGCAACACTTAATTGGCTAATTGTGCTGCTTCTCCCTTCCTCAGTCTAAGCTCTGCTGTTCATAGGATTGCAAGAGGCTGGTACCAGGTTGAAATGGTATCCTTACATCTGTCTGGAGTTAGACTTTACTTATTACAAACATAGCATAGTTCACACATCTGTGTCCTGCCTCCATGTTGTTGACTTCTTCTTCTTTCTCTTTCAGTCTTTTCTTTTTGCTGGTTCCCCATCTGGACTGGTACAAGTGCCCTTGGCGGACTGCAGTAAATACAGATCCTGTGCAGACTGTGTTCTTGCCCGGGACCCTTATTGTGCCTGGAATATCAACATCAGTCACTGCGTATCATCTAATGAGCAGTACGGGTGAGTGCTGTAAGCCTGCTCTGAATAGTAAAACATGCATTGTTTCTGTTTTTTGGAGAAGAGGAAAAAGCTATTCTTGTAACATACTTAAAATTAGATCATTCACTGACAGCTTGTGTTCCTTGTAGGGATGTGTTACTGCAGGATATCCAAGGCTCAGATACCTCAATGTGCGAAGTTCAGTACAATAAAGCTGGTAAGTAGGTTTTTTTTTTTTTGCAGAATTATTCATAGTTAATTGGAAAGGGCCTGAGGTTAATTAGATTAAAGAGGACCCATGCATCATATTTGCATTAAAGTGCTACTATGCAGTCATTTGCATCATCCCTCCTTTTTCTGTTTTAAATTATGGATTAATTTAAAAAAAAAAAAAAAAACAACTAAATAGCTTTTTTTGTAATGGATGTATAGCTGTCACATGGTTCAGCTCTTTTCCAGTCTATCTGCAGGTAAACATGAGCAGGAGGAGCTTCTATTCTCTTCTGGTCACGTAAAAAAAGAAAAAAAGACTTTTGGATAGAGTAAAAATAAAAAATGTGTGTATGTATATGTGTGTATGTGTGTGTGTGTATATATATGTGTGTGTATGTATGTATGTATGTATATATATATATATATATGTATTATATTTTGTATATTTGTAATGTATATATACAGTCATGGCCGAAAATTGTTGGCACCCTTGATATTTTTCCTGAAAATCAAGTATTTCACACAAAAAAGGTATTGCATTAACACATGTTTTGCTATACACATGTTTATTCCCTTTGTATGTATTGGAACAAATAAAAACAGAGGCAGAAAAGCAAATATGACATAATGTCACACAAAACCCCAAAAATGGGCTGGACAAAAGTATTGGCACCCTTAACTTAATATTTGGTTGCACACCCTTTGGAAAACATAACTGAAATCAGTCGCTTCCTATAACCATCAATAAGCTTCTGACACCTCTCACCCGGGAATTTTGGACCACTCTTCCTTTGCAAACAGCTCCAGGTCTCTCTTATTGGAAGGACACCCTTTTTCCCAACAGCAATTTTAAGATCTCTCCACCACAGGTGTTCAATGGGATTTAGATCTGGGCTCATTGCTGGCCACTTCAGAACTCTCCAGCGCTTCTTTGCCATCCATTTCTGAGTGCTTTTTGACGTATGTTTTGGGGTCATTGTCCTGCTGGAAGACCCAGGATCTTGGACGCAAACCCAGCTTTCTGACACTGGGCCCTACAGTGCGACCCAAAATCCTTTGGTAATCCTCAGATTTCATGATGCCTTGCAACACAGTCAAGGCACCCAGTGCCAGAGGCAGCAAAACAACCCCAAAACATCATTGAACCTCCACCATATTTTACCGTAGGTACTGTGTTTTTTTTTCTTTTGTAGGCCTCATTTTGTTACTTTTCGGTAAAATCAGTAGAATGATGTGCTTTACCGAAAAGCTCTATCTTGGTCTCATCTGTCCACAAGACGTTTTCCCCCAGAAGGCTTTTGGCTTACTCAAGTACATTTTTGGCAAACTGTAGTCTTGCTTTTTTATGTCTCTGTGTCAGCAGTGGGGTCCTCCTGGGTCTCCTGCCATGAAAGCGTTTTTTTCATTTAAATGTCGACGGATAGTTCGCGCTGACACTGATGCTCCCTGAGCCTGCAGGACAGCTTGAATGTCTTTGGAAACATGTTAAATGGGGCTGCTTATCCACCATCCGGACTATTCTGCGTTGCAATCTTTCATCAATTTTTCCTCATCCGTTCCACGACCAGTGGAGGGGAGATTAGCTACAGTGCCATGGGTTGCAAACTTCTTGATAATGTTGCGCACTGTGGACAAAGGCAAATCTAGTTCTCTGGAGATGGACTTGTAACCTTGAGATTGTTGATATTTTGCCTTCTTTTTTTGGTTCTCAGGTCCTCAGACAGTTTGGCGGACTGTCTCCTCTTTCTGTTTTGTCCATGCTTAGTGTGGGCACAGACAGACACACAATGCAAAGGTTAAGTGAACGTCTCCTCCTTTTATCTGCTTTCAGTTTTTTTTGTGTGATTTCTATATTGCCCAAAATTAGATGTTTACCTGTTACTTGCCCCAGGTGAGTTTACAGGAGCATCACATGCTTGTAACATTCTTATTTATCCGCAGTTGTGAAAGGGTGCCAATACTTTTGTCCAGCCCATTTTTTGGAGGTTTGTGTGTGACATTATGTCGAATTTGCTTTCTTTCCTCCCTTTTTTTTGTTTTGTCCCAATACACACAAAGGGAAAACTTACATGATTTCCTGGAGAATTATCAAGGGTGCCAACAATTTTTGGCCATATTGTTTTTTATTTTGTTATATATATTGTATGTATATATATATATGAATTGTTTTTTGACAATAGCATGATGTGAGTTGATTTCTGCCAGTCAGGGCCATGTGTCATAACCGGGAGATGAAGTCTCCATCAATCAAAATGTAATATCCCACCATCACTTTGTTTTAGCTGGATAGTGGGCATGGAGGAGGAGGGAGGGAGTGGGCTGTCATTTACCTCTGTGAATACACCCACATGTGTGACTCTATAATCACATGGGCTGCTCCGATGTGATGGGGAGGAAATGCACAGGGTGGAAATACCCTGAAAACAGAGCATGTGCACTATCTGCCTGAACTGCTCTGCAGAATTCCTTGCACTGCAGACATGGACACAAGGGGGAAACGGAGATCAGCCAGGTTTTTTGCAGAATACAGAAAACAAATCCCATAGTGACTTGGTGACTATGAACAGCATGTGATACAGCATCCATTGTTGGTTTTTAATAATGTGGTTTAATGACACCACAACAGTAAAATCAGTCTGCATATGCAGTAAAGCATGCTTGTTATACTCACTGTGGAACCTAAGGAGTTAATCCTGTGCATTGTGTAAAAAATACTATTTTTGATCCTGTCTTCTCTGATCCTCCCCTTATTCCAGTGTAAACTGCTAATACCTTTTCTCATCAGCAGTATATAGCAGTCATGTGACTTCTATCAGTGTCCAGCCGAGCACTGGTTAAAGCTTGGAGGAGGAGTTTTCATTTTGTTCTAGGAGGATGCAGTAGCCCTGACCTCTGTCTGGACTGTGCTGATCACATGCACTCTCCCAAGAAAAAAAAAAAAAAACCTCTCTAACAATACATACCAAATAAGACATATTGTGTGGAGTCACTCTGCACATGCTCAGTTTGGTATGTAGTGTTAGAGAGGGTTTTTTTTTTTTCTTGGGAGAGTGCATGTGATCAGCACAGGGCCAATCAGCACTGTCCAGACAGAGGTCAGGGGTTCTGCATTCTCCTAGAGCAGGGGTCTCAAAACTTTTTAAGCAAAGAGCCAGTTTATTGTCCTTCAGACTTTAGAGAGGGGCCACACTGGGGCCTTCGGCAGTAGAAAAATGTTGCAGTATCAGTTGGAGTAGACCATGTCCCATTGTTGGTGTCATTGGATGGAATTTTGCCCCATCATTGCTCTCATTGGTAGAAGTAGTGTCCTATCACTGGTGTGATTGGGAGGAATTGTGTGATATCCTTGGGAGGAATAGTGCCTCATCATAAGAGTCATTGGGCCCCATTGCTGGTGTCATGGAGAGGAACTGTGCCCTGTCATTGGTAGGAATTGTGCCCCATCATTAGTGTCATTGAGCCCCATTGTTGGTGTCAGTGGGAGGAACTGTGCCCCATTGTTGGTGTCATTAAACACCACAAATGGGGCATAGTTACTCCCATTGTTGGTGTCATTGACAGGAACTGTGCCCCATTGTTGGTGTCATTGGCAGGAGAAGTGTTCACCATTATTGGTGTTGGAGAATGAAATGGTGCCTCAAGGGCTGGATAAAGGCAAGCCAGGGGCCGTATCCGGCCCCCAGGCCACAGTTTGGAGACCACTGTCCTGGAGCTAAATTAAAATTCTCCTACAAGCTTTAACCAGTGCTTGGCTGGACACTGATAGAAGTCACAAGACTGCTATATACTGCTGATGAGAGAGGTTATTTAGCAGTTTATAGTTACTAAAATAATTGCATTTCCATGTTGTGTGTACTGTAGAAGACCAGATAAAGTGAATGCAGGGTCCTGGGTTTAGTAACACTTTTAACATAAACTGAAGAGTAAAAGGAAGGCTGTAAGCCTTGCCTTTTTTGGAGAGAACTGCTGCACCATGCTCCTACCTAGTAAAGCCCTAGGCAATTTGTCTTGTACCTGCAAAAGGGGAAGAATAGCCAAAAGTCTTCTCTCTCCTTCCCTTCAGGAGAGATCACATGGCAAAATGCCTAGGCCTCCATACACGTCATTAGCATTGACGAAAGCATGGTGTAAAACTTTTCTCCAAGAAAGTTGATTTTGCTTACTTGTTACTCTGTTTTAGCAATTCCAACTACACATTTGAGGCTGGGTCATGCTTTAACTTGCAACCTGATTTTTGTCTTGAAGCTGAAGTAAACCCATCAATGTAATGGTTTCCCACAACTGTTCTTTTTAAGGCATGATATGACTGACTGTCACAGTTGCTTGTACTCTCAACCACACTGTCAAGCTATCAAACAACTGGTGTCATAACTGATCACATGTACAGCTCCATGTACAGCTCCATGTACAGCTCCATGTGAACTGCAGATCAAACTGAGGATAAGATGGCAGCTTCTGTGTCTGTAAAAGATAGAAGGGTTTAGTTTTGCTTTAAAGCTCAATGAGAATGTTGCATTTTATATATATAATTTTATATTGCTTTGCTTTTCAGTTAAGCCCTCATTAAGAAACCTTACTGTGGCCATTGGGACAAATGTAGTTCTCCCATGTGAGCTGACTTCCAACCTGGCTCAACCTGTGTGGACCTTCAATGGACGTGAGTTGTCCCAAGAAGACAATGACTCTATGTTATATGACATTACCCTGCAGGCTCTGGTCATCCTTGGAGTTGGTGTCCACCACTCTGGAACATACTACTGCTTTTCAGTTGAACAAGAGACTCGCTTTGCCTCAGAAATCTACCAGCTCAGT